GCTAAATCAACTCAGCTCGACGTTCTGATCATATAAGTATACATTTTAATGGGTCTATCTCTTTTTGTTCTGGTACTTACAAACATCGGACCAAAGTTATAATACCATTTCATGCTCATGAAAGGTATAAAAATCATCGTGTTACAGAAACTCAAATGTGCCCAAAAACCGTGATTTTTGTACTTTTAGGTTAGAATATCTCGAAAACCTGACGTGAGTGGGCTGTTTCGGGGTCAGATTCGAATTCAGCACATCAAAGACCTTCGGAAAAGTATAGTCCGTAATGAAATTTTGTCGGCCTGTGTAATCATTGTCAATAGTTATTTATTAAATTATAAATTCAAGCATCCGTATACATACTATGCAAATAGTTATAGCATAATTCACTTATGGAAAATATATATATCACATACCGTCTTCCAAACAGTCACAACTCAAAATTTGTAATTTTTGAGATTATGTGCTAAAAATGTACACAGAGCTTTTAGTTACCTCGCAGCAAAAGCTGAAGCAAATTTTTGTTATAATTGATTAAAAAACCTAAGGTAAAGTCGCCCTTGCGCATATGATTATCATGTGCTAAGAAATAGTTTTTCGCACTTTCTGACAAACGTATTATTTTGAGTTGTGACTCTTTTGAAGACGGTGTGCGATATGTATGTACGTATAAATTTTTATTTAAACTACTTACAATCAGAACTCACACATAGCTCAACACCATTCAGTGATAGATGAGTGAGTTTCGGCGGATAACCAGCGTTTGCGAATTCCACGCGAAAAGTGGCAGGCTGGTGATTAAGAACACTATGCACAACTGTATTTTCATCCGGATAGGGAGTGATGCGTCCATAGTAAGTCTGGGGGATAATCAAAGAATAAGTTTTATGTTGTTTTCTTCCTGAGTGGTTGTAAAATTACGATGCCAAAAAACCAGATTTACTTAAGCAAAACACAGGAGCAGAGTCAGAAAGTATGTAAGTATGTATGTATGTACAAACACTTTTGTAAATTGTTAAGCTTATTTTCCGTTGAATTTTACACATTTGAAGTAAATTACATTTGCAGGTATGTATGTATGACAGCTTAGCGTACACTTGCCACTGTCGTTTTTCACTTTTTTCTGGGTTTTCTGTGAATGACTAAGTATTTACTACTTACTGACGTGGGCAGACCGCGTTGAGAGAAGTGCGCACGCACTTCAGCCGTGCCTACCGGCACTTGAGTCAATGTGATCTTGCCAAAGTAAGTCAAACCATCGCTTATATATTTAAAATACTCTGGACAGGCGACGGGTGGGAGCTGTGCGCTAACAAAGCAAACCAGCGCTGAGAGGCTGCCGGTAAAGATGATGCCCCATAAATGTGTGGAGAACATGTTTAATGTTGTTGTTTTTTTTTTAATATTTTTGTTCATATGCGTTTCAGTAAAAACAAACGCAAACACGGTTTACTCTCGGTCACAATACAGCAAGCGTGCGCTTTATTAGATGCATATGAGATGCTGGGTTCTTTTTTATTATGAGAACTTAAACTTATTTTTGTTGTTCTCTCGCACTATGTTATTTAATATAATCAATTTCGCTCTCAATTAGTATTTATTTATTAACAAAATCTAAATCGTTGCATTGTTACGCTTGAACTATTCTGGGAATACTGCGTTGAAGGCCTTTGATGTCTGCAGTATTGCTACGAAACCGATACTGTGGCACTGGACACGACGAGCTGTACGGAACAAATGGCAATGCGTTCAAGCTGAACAAACCATTTGAAGCGAAAAAATATTCAGACTTTGATGAGTGATCAGCATTGGAGATGTATACGATGTGATGCGATACGACGTCGCGTCGATGGCTGATGACGGAGCTACATATGTAGCTGTGACGGCTGTAATTTTCGGCATCGAAGGTAGGGGAAAGAAGTTCATCTTAACGAAAAATCAAACCATGTAAACGGCTGGGAGTTAAAGAAGGAGCATTAATATTTTTGTCATCCTTAGTGCGTCTGGGCTATACTTATGTATTTTGCAAAGAGTGTTTGATAGAACTACTGTTAGGTAATTTACAAATTATAATAACGAGGCAATTATGGGTTGGCTTTCCAAAAAGGGAACCAATTTCAGCGAAAGTATAAGGAATTTCGTCATTTCGTGAGGATGTTGGGGGAGGCCTCCTCAACATTAGTTGTTCACTCTCACAATATAGTTGCTATTAGTATTTCTGCAATTTGTTGTTAAATAATGTCCACTATCACCTCCCATTTTTGTACAATATGCCACTTATCACTTATATTTTCAGTCACATATTATACTTACAATGTCCACATGCGTATTTCATGCTTTTAATATATATATATAATATATATATATATATATATATATATATATGGGGCATTTCACCTCAACTGACCCAACTTTTGAAATCGATGTCTTCCGATCGGGATGAAATTTGCACCAAGGTTATTCCTAAACAAGTAAGAAAGTCTAAGTTCGGGCGGAGCCGAACATTAAATACCCGGCGCAAGTATTAAATATATGTCTTTTCACCTTTCCGAAGCTACCGCTAGATGGTAAGCCGGAGTGTAACAATTTTGAGTAAACTAGCGCCCTCAAATTTTGAGATATTGAAGTTTCAAGCATTTCTGAAATTTACCGTTGTATGAAAAACGGCCGTAATTTTAGTCCGATTTCAATAATTTTCAACGTTTTTCTTTTATGTGGCAAGCACAATAACCATACCGATTTTGGTACAAATTGGTAGAACGGTTACCGATATACATATATGTGATCATAAGTGGGCGGTGCCACGCCCATTTTCCAAAATTTTACTATTAACGTATTTCTTGGTGAAGGATTGTTGCAAGCATCAATTTTGAATAAATTAGCTTTAATATTTACTGATTTATCGAAGATTTTGTAATTCTCTAAATTACCGTAATATGGTATGGGCGTGGTTATTGTCCGATTTTTTAAACCTTCGACCATTTAGTATGCTGTACAAAGGCCAACAACCGTGCCAAGTTTGGAAGAAATTGGTGCAGCGGTTACCAAGATATACAAATGTAACCATAAGTGGGCGTGCCTACGCCCATTTTCCAAAAATTTATAATATTCTTATTTTTCGTCTAAAAATTGTTGTAAATATCAATTTTGAGTGAATAATCTTCAGTAGTTACTAAAATATCGCAGTTTTCGTATTTCCGATAATTACCGTCATATGGGATGTGGGCGTGGTTATAGTCCGATTTTTAAGATTTTCGGCTATTTAGTTTGTTGTACCAAGGCCAACAACTGTGCCAAGTTTCGAAGAAATTGGTGAACCGGCTACCAAGTTATACACATGTAAGCATAAGTGGGCGTGGCTACGCCCATTTTCCAAAAATTTATAATATTCTTATTTTTCGTAAGAAAGTTATTGTAAATGTCAATTTTGAGTGAATTATCTTCAGTAGTTACTAAAATATCGAAGTTTTCGTATTTCTGGAAATTACCGTTATATGGGAAGCGGGCGTGGTTACAGTCCGATTTCGCCCATTTTCAATACCAACCTGCCTTGGATTAACGGAAACCTACGTACCAAATTTCGTTGAGATATCTCAATTTTTGCTGGAGTTATTTTGTACACGGACAGACGGACGGACAGACAGACATGGCTTAATCGATTTCTCTATTCATTCTGAGCATTTATGTATACATTTGTCTATATCTATCTCGATTCGTTTTGGCTGTTACAAACAACCGTTATGTGAACAAAATTAATAAACCCTTGTGCACAAGTGCGCTCGGGTATAAAAATAGTAGTTATGACACAAAATTTCAATGGGATCGGTCAAACACACTCCGAGTTGGAGGGTCTAGAATTTTGACATTTTGGTCAAACGGCCATTTTTCCCGATCCATATAACTAATTACCTATTGTATTTAGAAAATTTTTTCAGGAATGTCTTCGATAGATTTCTCTTCAGTCTTTAAAAAATTTTGTTTTTTTTAATTAAAATGAATTTTTTTTAATTTTTTTTTTAATAAAAAATATTTTTTATGTTTTTTTTTCAAAAAGGGGTATTTTTTTATTTTGTTTTTTGCTCAAAAGAAAGCTTATTTATTTTTTGTTAAGAGCTTTGTCGTCGCTTAGTGGGATGCGACTTGTTTATCAATCAAAATTAGCGTTTAGTAACTCGAAACAGCGGTTTTTTTAATTTTTATTATATGACCTATTGTCTTCTTTTTTCGTATTATTGTGTAAGTGTATCTGAAACCTGAAAATAAGACTTATATAAGAAGGTATATACAATTACCTTTCCAACGGTATATGGCACGCCTAACCAAAGTTTCATACCCTCGATACTGCAATTCCCGTAGTTAAGGATGATTAAGATTTTTCGTAGTCTAACACAGCAGGTACTCGATTTTGTGCATCCAAACTCTTTATTAATAGCTTTGCAGAATTTTGAGTATTAATTTGCATACCTATTAGCACAATATTTAAAAGGTATGAAGAATATAGGATTTTCCGGTAGTTAAGGATGATTACGATTGTTTATTTTTCTCTCAAAAGAAAGCTTAGGTATTTTTCTTTAAGAGTTTTGAGGTCGCTTAGTGGGATGCGATTTGTTTATATATTAAAATGAGCATTTAGTAACACGAAACAGCGTTTTTTTTTTAATTTTTAATATATGACCTAAGTGTTTCTGAAACCTGAAAATAAGACATAAAAAATTAGATACAATTACCTTTCCAACGCTATATAACAAGCAACTAAAGTTTCATACGCTCTACACTATAATACCCACAATATGTACACCTCTGGAATAAAATAACTGTTTTTATATAGAATTGGTGAAAATTATGAATTGTTTTATTTATTTAGAATAGTTTTTAATATATAATTTAATAAATAGATACATAAAAAGTATACAAGATAGTTAATTTTCTTATAGCCAGCCTTCCATCCACCTTATTTTCCACCTTTCTTTGTGGCTTTTTTCGTCAATCCTTTCTTAGGCTTACTGGGTTCTGCTGTTGATTTCACTTCGGGTTTCGCTTTTGGAAAGAAATCACATTGGGTAGAGGACGGAAACTTCTTTAACTTGAGCCTTCCATCGCCAATCGGTATGAAAGGATGATATTTAGCGGTACCATCGATTGTTACTGCAGCATCAAATCTGCTCTTCAGTGATATCGCAGTTTCCGCATGATCATCTTTGCTACTAAACATTATTTCAGTTTCTTTACAATAATTCTTTGCCCACCGGAATAAAGCTATCGCATCTATGATACGAGCTTGATGAGAGCATTGGAGGCTATACTTCGCTGCATTTCTTTTAATATTTGCTCCTATACCATCACATGCTCCTTTACCATTAGCAGTAGGATGAAAATGCCACTCAGCTGGCTGGTGTATCGAAATCTGTTCCATGAGCCATAAGATTTGCGAAGCTACGTTTGTTTTTATAATGCTGACGAGCTCCAACCGAAACGTAGTATACCTTCGCTACTGTGAATTTGGATTTTAGATAATTTAGTATTATCTTCTGGTACTCATAAACAGCAACGGCGTCATGCTTTAAATCGTCGGATGTGATTGCCATACTTTTATGTTCCAGTTTTCCATCTTTCATGTAGTAAATAACTATTGTAAATATAGTTACTTGGTCGTTATTGAAATGGAATGCTTGTATGGCATCCTGCATAACATATTTATAGTTTTCTGCGAAATCGTATGAAATAACGAATTCACCTGCCTGCAAATGTATCCTCAAATTTTCGAAGAATGACCGCTGCTCCTTAACTAGAAAGTCATGGGTTCTCAAGCTTACCAATCCGGTACAAATTTCTTCCACAAAATCGTCCACACTTAAGATAACTGTTTTCAATGTGCACCTTTCAGACTGCCAAGATTCAAATTTGACCTCCTCCACAAATTCTCGGTCAAAAGACTTGATCAAATTCTCTTTGATGAACTTAGTTCCCGGGCAATTTGAGCATTCACCCAAGTGGCAAGAAGTAGATACATTAGGATACATTGTCAATTTAAGGCAATCACGGTAACTGTTTAAATCTTCCGGCGAATTATTTGTTAAATAATTCAAGTTGATTTACTTCAACATCAGCTTCACATTTTCATGATAAATGCAAACGCATACTGTATGAGTTCCGCTGCTTCCTACCAAGACGCAATGTTTTGGCCTGAGCTGGGTAAATTTTGTGAATCCAATTTTAATATCTTCGTGTTCAGATTGAAAGCTCGCGAATAGCTCATCTAGGTTGCAGAGAATTATCCTCTTCTGCATTTGAACTTTCTTACCGTCAATTCGTACAGACACCCAGTCTTGCATCCCTGAGTCACTAGAGCTTCAGTTTTGCACTCTAAAGGTTTTCCTTTCTTTGGGTTTGGGAGGTATGCCATACTCTGCAACTAATTTTTTAGCAATCCTAGCTTTTCTTTCTGATGTTCCAAACTCAGCCATTGTTTTTGCGCGACTCCATGTCGGTGGAGCAAGCGTGAGAAGTTGAATTTTTTCTGCTCGACTAGTTGAAATTTTGTACTTTTCTTTTATTTGCTCAAGTACTTTTACTGCATCATTGTGGTATTGGTTTTGGCACTCATCCCTTGAAGTCATATTTTCTTCAGTAAAGTTGGAACCATCGTCATCGGAAATTCGGTCATCATTCTCAGATTCAATATGGTCTCTATCTAGAATAACGTCTTCACAAGGCTCATTACTTTTCGAAGTCGGTAATTCCTTCAATTTGCTGAGCTCTTTCCTGCACGATCCACAAATTCGCATCCGTT